TATAATAAATAACAACAGTTATAATAAATAACAACAGGTATAATAAATAACAACAGTTATAATAAATAACAACAGTTATAATAAATAACAACAGTTATAATAAATAACAACAGTTATAATAAATGTCAGAGAGCAGAGTGTTTTTGTGCTGCTCAGCCTTTTTCATCATGTAGGAACAAAACTAATAAAATCCAGTTACAAAGAGACGTTAGTGTGTTCACCAGTTTGTACTAACTGTGATCATACAGACGCTGCATGCACAATGAATGCAGCTGAGCCCTGCATCAGGGTTGCCAGATACATTTTAAATGTCCCCCTCTTTTTCTGTGCACATGTTCAACAAACACAACACACACCTCATCTTAGAACATCTTTACTCAGCACATATCACAGTTTAGGTCAAAATACTAACATTTTAAAGCCACAGTACTATAGTTCTTCATTTCTTATCTGGCAACCCAACTGACATGGAAACTACAGCGTTTTTGTGTAAACCCTCTCATTTTTTGTTTATTACCCCAATAAACATTGAAACACCACTAATGTTTCCAGAGGTTGTTCTGTGTAAACGGAGCCTTATAGCAGGTAGATCACTTTGACCTGGTCATTTTAAAAGGAGCTCCATGATGAAAAAGTCTGGACACCCCTGACCTACAGTCATCACATATAAATTAATTTATCAATTACCTTTTCTCATGTAAAATATTCTTTAAACCCAACACTGGTTCCTTATCAGTATTTCCTATTGCATCACTAAGTAGTTCATGTTTCTTCATAAAGTCTTTTTACAGAACATTTTCAAAGATCCTAAAATACCGAGGCAACACACACGTCCTTGGACCTGAATAAACCAGTGAAAAGTGATTTCAACTGGTGTGTTTTTTTCCACAGTGGTCCTTTTAAAATGGTCTTGTGAGTTATTGATTACAGAAGGAAACATACATATCTGCTAAATGATCTTCTCAAACCCTGTGTCTCGTTGTTCTTTCAGGTGTCCAAAGCCTCTGCAGACCTCATGAACTACTGCAGCGAGCACTTCAGGAACGACCCTCTCCTCGTGGGCATCCCTACTTCAGAAAATCCCTTCAAAGACAAAAAGCCCTGCATTATATTGTAGTAAACACCCCCTGTTGCCTTTATGTGTTTGTTTTTCTGCTTATTAATGTTGCTGTGTCCTTTTTCTGGAAGGAGTTGGGGGTGGGGTGGGGGGGCTATGATCAAATCATTAGCATGTGTTAACAATGTTCCTGTTTTTATTTCCATTCAGTGAAGAGAGGCTTTGTGGTTGCCTCGTTAGCTTGTGTTACTCAAACTACTGATGTGCCACTGTTCACTTTCTGGCCACTTGATAAACTTTGGCTACATGAAATCTGATTACATCAGGTGTTTTTTGACATCAAGACTTCAGATGATTTTTGAAGTATTTTGAAAACAATGGCAGTGCTCAGTGATAGATTTAGTCTTTATACAGTTTATCTCCGGTGGGCAAAGACTGTTATTCGTCTCCTTAGTTTACCTTAAGTAGAAACCAACAACCAAAGTTTTCCACCGGACCTCTGAAGCCCATTAACTTCAGTGAATAACATTCATTTCAGAATACTATCTCGCCTGTATTTTATGCAGTTCAGATCACTGAATTCATGAAGCCATTGTTGCCAAATGTTACCTTGATGTATTGTTTTATTTGTGAAGAAGCACCTGGTGATAAATGAATACGACTACGGTAATTCAAAAGTGTTTTACAGCCAGTCTCAGCTGGAGCGGCTCGGACTCTTCAGTGACAATCCTCATCTGTTTAATTCACCGTTGTCACTTGGCAGCTCCATCACTCTGGTCAGGGTCAGCTGGTTTAAAGGATCTCACTGGGCTGCTGCTGTGGGGGACAAGTTGGCAAACACCATTTATGAGGGAGTCTCCAAAATGTCTCGGGGGCTCGTGGCTTCCTTGTCTTCGTTGCAAAGCCTGGTCTCTTAAATACTGGACACATAAAAAGACAAGTGCAACACATTTTCTTTAAAAAGTGACAGAGGCGTTGAAAGTATCTCCAACCATCTCCACAGCTGCACAGCTGAGTTTTGACACCTTCTTATGACATCAAACATCCAAGGCTACAGTCCTGAATGTCCAAGGGTTAAAAATCATGCTGACCGCAATAACTACAATATTTTGAAGGTTTTAAAAGCTAATTTAGGTGGAGGTGGGCTACAAAATAATGTGCATGGCCAGTACAGTTCTGCAAGCCATGCGCACAAGAACAGTCTGATTTTCAAAAGTTGGTCATTTCAATTGCGGCACGTCTTCTGGTCTCAAAATTCAGTGAGATTGCACAGTTTTGAGTCACCAACTTGTCTGCAGCAGCCTCAGCCCAGTGACTTACTGGCTTTAGGGGCCACCATGCTTTGATCGTTTCCATGTGAGCTCTAATGCAAAACTTTACTTTCAAGCTTTGGGAATTTTTCCTGCACGTTTGTGAGAGATCGCACCCTCAGCCAAGCTCACGCACTAATGTTAGCCTTTTTTGTTTTCTTCCTTGCTGTTGGTCAGTTTACATCAGATGCAGACGATGACTGTAATGAAAACCACAGGACCAAGCCAAACCTCTGCTACTGCATTTAAAACCATCTGAACTTTGGAATGGAAGGAGTTCAGGCATTTTGTTTGAACCCTTTCTGTCGTACACGATTTAATCTGCAGCAACACTGTGAGCTACAACTGGTCACTCAGTGACCGCCCAACTCAAGTTAACATGCACATCATGTCGTTCGGCACAAGTGTTACATGGTGCCTTGGTAAAAAAGTATTCACACCCCTTGAACTTATCCACATTTTGTCACGTTACAACCTCAAACTTCAAAGTATTATACTTGGGTTTGATGTGATAGACAAACAAAGTTGTGCATAATTGTTAGTGTAATGCAAATGACGTAATTTCTGGACTATCGAGCACATCTAAATATAAGCCATGTCCACTAAATTTAAAAATAAAACAAAAAAAAGTATATATCTAGGCCGCACTTGTGTATAATCTGTGGGTGTCCACGTTGTAACATGAAATATTTACACAGATTTTTTTTTTAAATCTTTTAATGAAATGCGTACCAGTAACATACACAAATACGTACAGTAAATGTTTTTTTCTCAACGGTGCCAGTAACACGGCTGGTTAAAAAATAAAAAGTACAATAAGTGAGTAAGTAAAACTTTATTTATATAGCACTAATTAAGATAAAAATCACAAAGTGCTTCGACAACCAAAAAAAAAACAAGTGCACAAAACAAATTGAAGCAAAGTCAGATTTAAAAGATGAGTTTTGAGCAGGCCTCTAAAAGAAGCCACTGAGTCCACTGGTGGGGAGTTTGAGGAGGGGGTTCCAGAGTCTTGGAGCCACAGAAGAAAAGGCTCTGTCTCCTTTAGTTTTCAGCTTTGTCTGGGGGACAATCAGCAGGTCTTGATCACAGGACCTCAGAGTCCTGATCGGAGTGTAGGGATGTGAAAGTTCCTGGATGTGTGTTGGTGTCTGTCCAAGCAGAGCTCGCCAAGTCCAAACCAAAACCTTGAAATCCTCTCGAGTCTACCAGGAAGTCATTGATCGCTAGCTTCATTTTCCTCCTGCGCACCACAGACATATATATGCTGTACACTGCGCCCATGAGCTTGTGCTGTCCTCTTCATCACGTCCCCCCAGGGGCACAACGGGGAGGGGAGGAGAGAATGGGGGAATGGGACCAGTGACCAATGAAACTTGTGACCTGTTTGGTAATTTCATTGGTCAGATTTGTTTAACCAGTTAGTCTCACTGAGTCATGAGGACCCCCC